AGGGTAGCGACTTAGGATTTGATCATGTTGGCAACTGGAAGCCACAGAAGGTTCTGAGCAGAGGGAGAAAGTCACAAGGATTCTCTACCATTACCAAACTCAGCATGTAAGGCAAAACAGCCTACCAGCCACAGGCACCAGTGGGAGCTTTCTGCAACCAACCTCCCCACTCTCTACCAGTGGGCTTGGCTAACAGAGGGCATCCTCCCTCCCCCCTCCAACCTCAGCCAGCCTCTAGCTCACCCTCTTTCTTGTTCCTCCAACCAGACGCTAAGGCTGTTGTACTCTGAGGAGGGTATGGAGCAGAGCTTCTGGGTCCAGGCCTCACTGAGGACTCTAACCCTTTCCCATGCAGGCCCCACCATGTTTGCCTCTTATGGGGTTTGCATGTTTCCATGCTACCTGGTTTCTCTAGAAAGCTCTATCTTTCCCATATCAATGCCTGACTTAAAAACTTCCCAGAGCACCCCTCTGACAAATAGTAAGTCCAGACCTAGGGCCTTCAAGGCTGGGGGCTCAGCATAACCCTGCTGGGTTCATGAGCAAGACCTCAACAGAGTTCTTGGCCCTTAAAGTAAAGTCTCAACTCCCTTCTGTCTGGCCCTGCCTGCTTCTCCACACTCTTCTCTTCCCATCAGTCCTACTGTTCCTTTCCTGGGAGCTCAAGCCACCCTTAACTTTACAGCCTCTACCTGCCCTTCTAGTCCAGCTTATTTATCAGATGCTCACAGGGAGGCTTACCATGCTCCAACACTACCCCCAAGTTTTTACAAAAACTAACTCATTCGGTCCTTATAAAGACCCTGTGAGGTAGGTACTAGTATTATCCCCACTTGACAGATGAGGAGACTGAGGCACAGAGCAATGACAAAGCTAGTAATAGCAGAGCTGAGAAGAGAACCCAAGCCATGTGGGTCAGGGTCTGTGCTCTCACTGCTCCATGTGACCCCAAGTTCTCTCTCCCTGTGTCATTCCCATTCCCTCAACACACTGAACTTCTCACCTATCACCTGCTTAGTCCCACTTTCATGCCTTTGTCCTCACTGTTCCCTCTGCCTTGAAGACTTCCCTCCTTAACCTGACAAGCTCTGCTTATCCTTAGAGAGTCACCTGACCCTGCAAATTAGGCCACCTCCTCTGTGTCCACAGAGCACTTCGTACACACCTCCACTGCGGACAGCCCTGGGACTGGGGGCTCCTTGATGGCCCATTCCTGCATGCCCAATGTTTGGTCTAGGACTATGTCCAGCTCAGGAGTTATTGGTAAATGCAGGATGAGCTGGAGGCACAAGAGAAATGAGACTTCATTGCTTGCCCTCTAGAAGCTCATAGTCTGGTGGGAAAACTGATCTTCATGCAGCCTAAAGTCCAAGGGGATCAGACACCCAAGAGAAGCACAAAGAGCCTGCAGTGTCACCAGTGCCAACGGACAACGCTGTGCTTCCCACCAGGGAGGTCAGGCAGGCTTCTCAGAGGAGTCAACTTGTGTCTCCGGCTTTAAGGGATGGAGAAAATTTCTGCAGCCCAGTGAGGTGCACCCAGGCAAGAGGGCTGGGGAAAGGATTCCAGGCTGGCAGAGGCAGAGAGGTAGGAAAGCAAGATGTACTGTGAGGGCCAGCATTCAGCTAAGCCTTTGACCCACCAGTAAGCTGTAGGAGGGCATGGCTGTGGCTGCCTGCTCCTCCCTGGGGTCCCTGGCCAGCACCTAGCACTGCACCTGCAGAGTGGGCGCACTGCAAGGATTTGGTGGAAACAGATGTCATGCTGTGTGAAGTCATACAGTTCGGTGGCATAACTTTAGAAAAAGAATACAAAGTTCCTAATATAAATGTAGGTACAAAAGTACACAAAAGCACAAAAGTATATTTGTAATGTTCTCATTCGGAAGTTGCTCTGTGACAGACAGCAGTAGCTTCACTTGGAACATTCCTCTGGTCAGGAGAAAATAAAGAGAGTGGAGGGTTCCAGGAGTGGTAGGGCACCAGAGCCGACCTCTGAGCTCTCCATCACCCTCCCAGCCAAGCCACCTTGACCATGCCTCTGCCATGTTTTGTGAGCTTCCCTGGCCACAAAAAGACCTGATTCTCCTAGGTCAGGGGACTTCCTCCCTTTGGGAGGGTAGCCAGAGGGTGACTGTGGGCATCTGAGAACAGTTTGCTGGTCACCTCCTGGTGACCTTGGGCACTGCTCTCTGGGGCCTCAGGGGTCATAGATAATCTGTTCTGAAAGTCTCCTTTTTATTCTGGCATTCTGCTCATCAGAAAAGCTTAGGAGGCTCTCCCAACAGGGTTGGCCTGTGAAATGCTCCCCAAGGGCCTCATTCATTGCCCAAGACTGAGGTCTTACAAGTGCTAGCCTGGCATTCTGCTGGGTGTTAGTGGGTGGGGGTGCACTGCCATTGAGGTGCCCCTGGCCAAAGGGGGCCAACTAGACATGAAATATATAATTGACAGAGCCTCCAAGCAGAGAGAACCCAGACCAAAGGCAGACTTCTTGGGGAAGTCCAGGAAAGCTTCTTAGAGGAGGAAACACTTGATTTGAGAGATGGAGCGTTCGATCAACAATAATTTACCAAGCCCCTTCTAGTGCCAAACTTGAGATTACTGCAGTAAGGAGGACAGATGGGCATTTGCCTCAAAGTGTCTTCCCTTCAGTCCAGAAGGGCAGTAGGAATTAAGTCTGGAGAGAAGAGGAGCATTGTCCCCAAGACAAGGGAAGCAGGAGCACCCACTCGGAGGGGAGGGTCTGCGTCCTACTTGTGCATGGAGCTGAGAGGAGTTTGGCGGGGGGGCAGAGGGAAGTGAGGTGGAGATGAGGCTGGCAAGGTTGGCAGAGAGCAATAATGGAGAGCCTGGAACACCAGGGTAGCGACTTAGGATTTGATCATGTTGGCAACTGGAAGCCACAGAAGGTTCTGAGCAGAGGGAGAAAGTCACAAGGATTCTCTACCATTACCAAACTCAGCATGTAAGGCAAAACAGCCTACCAGCCACAGGCACCAGTGGGAGCTTTCTGCAACCAACCTCCCCACTCTCTACCAGTGGGCTTGGCTAACAGAGGGCATCCTCCCTCCCCCCTCCAACCTCAGCCAGCCTCTAGCTCACCCTCTTTCTTGTTCCTCCAACCAGACGCTAAGGCTGTTGTACTCTGAGGAGGGTATGGAGCAGAGCTTCTGGGTCCAGGCCTCACTGAGGACTCTAACCCTTTCCCATGCAGGCCCCACCATGTTTGCCTCTTATGGGGTTTGCATGTTTCCATGCTACCTGGTTTCTCTAGAAAGCTCTATCTTTCCCATATCAATGCCTGACTTAAAAACTTCCCAGAGCACCCCTCTGACAAATAGTAAGTCCAGACCTAGGGCCTTCAAGGCTGGGGGCTCAGCATAACCCTGCTGGGTTCATGAGCAAGACCTCAACAGAGTTCTTGGCCCTTAAAGTAAAGTCTCAACTCCCTTCTGTCTGGCCCTGCCTGCTTCTCCACACTCTTCTCTTCCCATCAGTCCTACTGTTCCTTTCCTGGGAGCTCAAGCCACCCTTAACTTGTCTGGGTTCTCCAACAAAGCATGGGTTTTTCCCAGGCTGGCCTCTCTGCCCAAATCACTGTCTGTTCTCTGAGGTTCCCTCCTAACCGAGCTCACCCCTACTTCTGGCCTAAGCCTGTCTGTCATTTCCTCAGTAATGCCTCTCCTAATCCTTCAGAATAGGCTGGAGTCTCCAGAGGTGCTCTCTCAGACTCCAAGCCTTTGCACATGCTGTTTCTTCTGCCAGGAATACCCCTGCCTCCATCCTCTGAAGCCTAGTGCCTGTCCAGTTCCTGCCAAGTAGCAGCATCTTTATTTCCCTTTAACAGATGAGGAACCAGAGGCTCAAAGAGGTCAAGTAACCTGTTCAAAGCCACACAACTTTGTGCCAGGATGTGATAGTGATGAGTGGCAAAATCCTGTGCCAGCTATACGTTCTTAGGAACATCACTTGGCTTCTCTGTGCTTTGTGAATTCCACAGTGAAATGGGGGCACTCATTGCACAAGGTTGGTGTGAGGCTTACAGAAAAGCTGTACTGTGTGACCTGCATTCCTTCTGTCCCCAGGCCAATTATTGGCTTTCACATGGCCTCTGCAGCATATTCAACACTCATTCATTCATATATCAGAACCGTCCAATGCCTGCTGGGTGCCCTGCCCGGTGCAGGCCTCGGAAATAAATCAGTCACAGCTCCTGCCCCAAGGCACTGGGAGAGGGGAGGGGTGGGAGCGACTGCAGATACACAACCACTCAGGGGTGTGTGTGCGTGTCTGTGTGTTGTCCTCTCACACCACTGCTGACTTATTTTTAAAACTGACAATTATTTTCCTCTCCACGGACGGGCTCTGGGAAGGGGAAAATGTTGAAGAGGATCTGCTCTTTATTTCAAAAACTTATTTTTCACCGCTTAAATATGAGTATTTCACAGCATCCAATGGTCACCTCCTCGAGCTAAGCTCTAGAAGCTGGGGAGCGGGAGTCCTTGAGGGCCGTTTCCCCCTACTCCCAAGGGCTCCACTATTTCTGGGGACTCCACTGCCCGGGATAACCCACTTCGTTTCCATCCTGCTTCTTTTTTCCTCCCCCGACTCCTGTTCCTATGACTTCCCGACTCCTCCTTTCAAAGCAGTCCCCACGCCCCGTCCCAGGCAAACCAGTTCTCCCCACTTCTCCCTCCATCCGGGTTCCCAGGTTAGCCTCTAGCGGGGTCAGCTCTAGTAAACCCCGACTGCCACCCTCTCCATTGTCCTCCCTCCAGCCGTACCTCTCCACTGTGAGCCCCGCCCTCTCGAGGTAGAGCACTCGTTCCGCAGAGCGCCGCTCCTTTTCCACCCTGCGATTGGCTCCTGCGGCCCGACGGCGCGGGGCCAGGGGCGGTGATCTGGAGCGCGCCCCGCCCCTTGCCCCTGGCCCGGCGAGGGGGCGGGGCCGAGGGCTGACTCCGCCCTGTCAGGGCGGGGCCGCGCTGGCCGGCGCTCGCGTGCTGGGCGGTGCTGCCTCGGCTTGGCTCAGCTGGGCTCGGGCTCCGGCTGCCGCTTCTGTGGGGGTGGGCGGTGGGATGACAGCGCCCGCGGCACGGAGCTGAGCGAGCCGCGAGCGAGTCGAGGGAAGAGAAGGAAGTGGAGCCGTCGCCCGGAGCTCTGTAGTCAGCCGCCACGCTGAGTCCGGACCTGAGAAGACTTCCTCGCCTGACTCCGGCCGCCGCGGCTCCGCGCCCCTAGCCGGAGCCCTGCCCCGCCTGCCCTACCTCTGGGTTCCGCGCTGGGACGCTCCCGGCCCCGCGGTCCAGGGCTTTGTGGGCGGGACGCCACGAACCCCCAGCTCTGATCCAGCGCACCAGGGCGGACGCTCGTGGCCCACCATAAGTGTCCGTGGTTGCGGGCTCGTCCCAGTCCCTCCACAGTGTGTGTGGGATCCCGCAGCCTTCCGCCCGGGGTTGGTACAGGTACCCCAAGCCCTGCGCCCCCACTGCCTAGTGCAAAGGAGCCTGGACGCCCCCAGCTTCTGGTTCCCCGAGACCCGAAGCCTCAGCTCCCTTCGACCCGGTGGTTCGGACTTGGGACCGTGCGAGCGCACACGAAGCCTCGGCCAGCGTCAGCGTCCGGTGAGAGGTCCCAGACCTGCAGCCAGTCGGACTGAACTGCACCGGGCTGGTGCTGCGAGCCCGAGCTGCCACCTTCTTAACGCCCCAGGCGAGGGGCTCCGCGCGTGCCCGGAAGAGAACACACAGGGGCCCCTTCTGCCCCGGCCGCGGGCGAGAGCCGAGAGCTGCAGGTGAGAGAGCCCGGATGCTGGGCACGGGCGGCCTTCGACCCGGTCCGCGCAGCGCCGGGGCCAGCTGCGGGCGTGTACGGGGCACAAGCTGAGGCTGGGACTGGCTAGGAGCGGGTGCGGAAAAAGGACGGGGGAAGGGAGAAAACGGGCACTTATTGAGCGCCCATTGTGTGCGGGTCTGCGCCCCACCCTTGCGCGAATGGTCCCTCATTTAAGGCTCGCTACTACTCGGGAGATAAAAGGTGTGTATTATTATATGCGATTCCATGGGGACTAAGGCTCAACGGGGGTCGAGTGACCCTGCTCTTTTCACTTTCGGGGTTGAGACTGGCGAGTAGGTTTAGGGTGGAGAGGAAAAGAAGCAGAGAGAAGAGAAAAAGAAAGGAAGTGGATTTCCGCCAGGCAGGAGAGGGTGAGAGGTCAAGACGCGGCCACTGGGGCATCCTGGAGCTGCTCCTGAGGCTGGGGAGGTGCTTCCCCTGGCCTCCTTCCCTCCCACTCCGTGGCCATGCCACCTCCCAGGAAAGGTGCCCTAGAGTTGAGGGGAGAGGTGGGAAGCTTCCCAGTTCCAAAGCTTCCCTTCCTGGGGCCCCTGCCCAGGCATGCCAGACACCTGGGTCTCTACGGCACTCTGGAGTCCCCAGACACCGCTTATATGGGGGGGAAACTCAGTGTAGAGGTCACCAAGTTAGAACCCATCAGAACCGGAGATAATGAGACCTCTCAGCAGTCACCCAGTTTGCATCCTTCACATTATTAACAGGGACCCTGAGGCCTGGAGGACCAGGGTGCCAATTCTGAGGTCCTAAAGCAAGCGAGTGGTGGAGGCAGAAGTACACCTCAGCAAACCTTGCCAAACATCCTGGAAGGTATCTACTCCCTCTCCCTGGTGAGCATCTTCAGGATAGGTGGCTGGGGTTTTCCCACCCTTGATGTGAGGTCAGGGTGACTGTGTATGAAGTTGCTGTGAGATTCTGTGTGGTCAGTGCTGGGGCCTGAGATATGCCAGCAGCCCCATAGCCTTTGGCCCAAACTCAGTGTCTGACCTTATCTTGTCCTGAACAGGGAAACCTGCAAGACACCCCTGGCCAGGATGGGAGGGGCTTGCTCAAGGCTGGGGCTGCCAGGGCTGCGGGCACAGTTCCAGGTGTCTGGATTCCCAGGCAGGGGCTCTTCTGCTGCCCCCTGGGGCCATGCTGGGAGAGTGGTGTTGTGAAAGAGTGCTTGGCATGGACTCTGTAGGGCTCTTGTTGTGGGTGGGGAGCGGGAGGGATGTGGCCTTGGTTTTAGCCCTGTGGCCTTGGCTGGGACTCCTTAACCCCTGTTGTGCCTAGTTTCCTAGAGTCTGGGGGAAACCACCTGGGAAAGCCCTTGGGAGGTAGAGCAAGGTGGAGAGGTCAGGCGAAGGCTGGGAGCTCAGTCCCCGTGGTGGAGGGATTGGCGAAACTGGAGGAGAAAGTAACTTAAGGGGCTTAGGACCCTACCTCCCCCTGTCCTTGGGGATTCAAATTCTCATAATAATCCCCACATATAAACAAAGCTCGTCTTTGATGAGATAATTTCACACTGTGATCTCATTTCATGGTGTGGTGAAAAGAACCTGGAACCTGGAGTGAGGCAGAAGAGGGTTGGAGCCACCTGGGACCTCTAAGATGCGTCCAGGGCTCCAAGCCTCATCCGTAGAATGGGGTCAAGGCAGGCTGTGTGTTAGATAATGGGTCAGATAATGGGGCCATTACATCCGGCAAACTGTCAAGTGCTAAAGAATTTTTTGTTTTGTGTTTGCCAAGACTGGGTTTGTTACCGATGGCTACCTTGTGTAGGAAACTGAGGCTCAGGGAGGTGAAACCAGTTGCTTGGGCCTTTGAGTTTGCTTCAGGAAACGGGACAGCATACCAGGTACCCTGGATGTTACCCAAATGGAAAAGGCAGCATGGCAACCAGCTCACAACTGGGTGGGCTAAGTGGAACGGCAGGCAGCGATAAGTCAGCTAGGTGGGCAGGGATCTGCTCTGCCTCCCACAGGCCATGTGGCATTGGGCAAAGCACTTCACTCCCCAGAGCCCTAGCTACCTCTCTGTAAATTAGTGAAGATTAAATGAGATTAAAATATACAGTGCTTGGTTCACAAACCTCAGTTTAGGACTTTTTTATGCGTTAGGCTCCCCTGTGCTGCCTTCTTGCCCCCCACCCCCACCCCACCTCTAGAATCTGCTTGATCCTAGCAAGGGGCTCTGGATTCTGACCCCCCCAGCTCAGGGCTGTTGGCTTCCTGCAGGGTTAGGGGGAGCTGGTGTTAATTCCCTCTGGCCCATTGTCTGGCCTCTGTAGGCACAAAGATTCAGTGAATAATTTATGGCTTCCTTTACCGTGTGGGGAGGCAGGCTCAGGGAAATTGCTTAGTACTCAGCTGAACCTCTGGAGCCCACCAGAGAAGGTGGGTGGGTCCTATCAGTACTGTATGAAGTCTTGATGGGGAGAGGGAACATGACAGGACAAAAGTGACCTATAGTCAATGCTGGCTCTCCTTTTAGGGGCAAGGTAAACCCACAGGAAATAATGGAAACCAAGCTAGATGAACTAAGAGCAAGCTGTAGGCCTCTGATTGCAAATAGGCGGTGAGGAATGGCAGGGAGAGGCCCTTGAAGACTGGAGTAACTGGAAAGCCTCATCAAGGAGGAGGGTGTCTGGGCCGGGGCTGGAGGCTAAGTGCTGTAGAGAATAGGGGTCCTGACATCCATTCAGGGTTGAACCCTGGTTGTGCCGCTTGCTCACTGTGAGAATGTGAGCAAGACATCTGATCCTGCTAGGCCTCTGGTTCCTTCTCCATAAAATGAGGGTAGTTATGGGTGACCGAGCTGTCATAGGTAAAGCACAGAGCATAATAGGTATTTAGCAAAAGGTGCTTCATCATGAATGTGGGCTGATGGCAAGGGGAGGCGGGATGGTGTAGTAGGCAGAGGTTGGGGAGAACTTTAGAGTTTGGGGGGGTCAGTGAGGTATGGAGAAGAGGGGTGACCAGATTGAGTGCCTTGAATATCAGACAGTTTTTACATTTTATGTGAAATGTTCAGAAGCATCATGGAGTCCCCATTTAAAACCCTCTGTGGTTCCTTCTTGCCCTACAAGATGAAGACCAGGCCCCTTTGTTGTACATACAAGGCCTAGCCACTGCGTGGATCCCTGGCTTGTTGCTCATTACTGTCTCCCAAGCACCTCATGTGTGGCCCTGTTGCTGTCCCTTTGCTTAGTGGGGGTTCTGTCATCCCTGCATCTTCTCTGCTCACCTCTGCATCTGTCGAGGCCCAGGGGAGGTCATAAATTTCCCCAGAAACATTCTTGGATTACACAATCCTCTGGTTATTATACCTCCTCTGAATCTTTAACACTTCACAGTAATAGTAACAAATAATGCCTACCATTACATCACATTTTACAGTTTGTAAAATGCATCCACATATTCACTTAATAACACTGTGATGATATTAACAATAGCTAATACTTGAGTACTTATTATGAGCCAGATGTGTGTTAAGTGCTTTACCAGAATACTCATTCACAACTCTGGGAGGTGGCTACTGTTATCCCCTAGAAACTGGGGCTCAAGAGAGGTACACGTCTTGTTCAAGGTCACCAGATAGACATTGGGAAGTGAGGCATCAAGCCCATGCTCTTATCTGCTAAAGAACAGACAGCTTGACAGCCTTTAGATGTTCTTTCTCCTCAACTTCACCCAAGTACCTCAAGAGCACACTGTGCATGTAAAAGGCTTGGAAATAAGCTGCATTTTCAAGGCTAAGGAGGAGGAATGCTGGAGTAAGCCTGGGGCTCAGGAAGGAACCCTCGGCTGGGCATCCAGGGCCCTGCACTGGCTGGTTGTATGACCTGGGGTGAATCAGCTCTTCTCTGTTTTGTTGTGTCTTTGGTGAGTGGGGTGGTGTCCAAGTTTCTAGAGCCCCAGCCTTCTACAGTGAGTGTCCTTTGTGACCCTGGCAGATAGAGGAGGAGACCACAGCATCAAGGCCAGAGGATGTGGTATGACGGGCGGCTGTGATTCTTGGCTAGGCCACTGTCTGGGCCAATGGGCTCTGTAGTTAGCTACTTCCTCCCCTGAAGGAAGGTGGCAGCCCGTGCTGCTGGCAACATGGTCATTAGCTGGGTGGAGAAGACCCTGTGATTGGGAGCTGGCTGGACCAGGCCAGGTTGGCAGGGCAGGGACAGTCTTGCCCAGCCTTCACGGGCTCACTGGCAGGGCAGCTGCTTCTCCCTCCTTTGCAGTCTTGAGGGCAGTGGCAAGTGCCCACTGGGCATCAGAGCTTTGTAGTCCGAGGCCTGTGCTTCCTGTTGCGGTGACTGTAGTAGTGGAGCAGTGAGGCATCTATCCAGGCCTGACGATGCCTCCTCGAAGCTTCCAGGACTCCTCTGCAGCTCAGCAGCCCTCTCACACTGACTGTGGTCTATGGAGTAGGGCTGTGGAGGTCTGCTCCCTCGCCAGCCTGTGAGAACTAGATTCTCTGCCACCCCATTCCTTCCCTTAACAGAGTGTCTGGCACAAAGTGGCAACACCCCCAGCAGGGGAAGCAGTGCGAGCCTCCCCTGAGGCAAGTTGCTCAACCTTCGTACCTCTTTTCCCTCCCTGTAAAATGGGGCTGATGATAGCAGTGCTGAGGCAGTTAAATGAGATGACGGGAATGAGGCACAGCCAGGCTTGGCGCACAGGTGGATCCTCTGCTAGCCTGAGTCCATCCACTTGCCCATCCCCTCGGCAGCCTCATGAACGAATGACTCAGTGAGAAGCTGATTGAAGAGTCCAGTCAGTGGTGAGGGTGTGCCTGGTGGCAGGGAGGATGGCCCAGAAGGGGACATTTTGTTGCCTGCAAGGACTCTGTGTCAGACAGAATTTGCAGAACCGTGATTCCACGGCTCCCCAGTGAGTGAGCAAACAGCTGTCGGACGTGGAGGGCCCTGAGCAAAGTTCAGGGCAGGGAACAGGATCACTTTGTCCAGGCACCTGGTTCTTCTCAGGTCTTAGCAGTGACCCAGTTGGGAGGAGCCATCTGGGTCCAGAGATAGCAGATGCTCACAGAGAATGAGTCCTTCCTTAAAGGGAAGCAGCATTCTCTTGGTCTCTGGCCCCCTTGCACTCATATCCAAAGTGTAGCTTGACTGGAGATGTTTGGGCTGGGGGGGGAACCAGACATTAAGCTAATAAACACATGGATCCAAAACTTCCAAATTGCAAAGAGGGCGCTCCTGAAGTGGGGTGGGGGTGGGGTGGGAGTGGGGTTGGGTCTCCTCCAGTCTGTGAATGGTGGTGTGGTATAGGGTCATGCTCAGACCACAGTCTGGATGCACACACTTACTAGCCATGTGTCTTGGCAAGTGACTTAACCTCTTAGGGCCTCAGTTTCTCCATCTGTAAAGGGAGGACAATTACAGCACCCACTTCATAAGGTTGTGGTGAGGATTCAGTGAATTGTACATGTAAAATCTCAGCACATAATAAGCACTTAATGCATGTTAGCTGTTAGCTGTACCTCTAGCACCCAGCAGAGTCTGAAAATGCACAGGTGCTCTGGAAGGGCGCATGGAATGAAACCCAGACAAAGGGCAGCTGCTCTGTGCAGTGAGTCAATGAATGGCCTGGTAGAAGAGGAGGATACAGCAGTGAAACAGAATGTGGCTGGGAAGGTCAGGGGCTGGGGTGGTCCAGTGCTGGATGGGGAGGGAGTCAGGAAAGGCTTCTGGGAGGTGGTGCTCCCAGAGCTGAGCTTGTGTCATTGAACACACACACATGCACTCATGTACATGCATGTACCCTTGCACTGCTGTGGGGTCAGGTCTAAGAATGAGCCAGGGATGAGTGATTCCTGTCCCAGAGTCGCCAGC